TGGAGGCAGCCACGTGCCATTGACTGGTCAAAAGACATTGGCATTTTGCCAGAAACGTCCACCCATACCAATCCAGATGATTGCACGCAAAAGCAGCTTGAAGCCATTGCTAAAGGGTTTGAAGATGTCGTAAATGACAAAATGATCACTAAATCCCAAAAAGGGTTACAAACTTGCCAGCGGGGCAGATCCCTCACAACGCAGACGAAGGTCATTCAAGACCACACCAGGCCACTCCAACCCACCAGGCATGGCCATGTGAAGCCTGAATATCATGGTCAATGCCTCAGACACCAACAGTGGTATAAACAAATGAGAAGACTAGAATCCATCAAGCGCCTTATTCACAGCAATAATTTTGCTTCACAAAATCAGCAGATACATGCCCAACGTGAATGGAGAAGTATAATCACTAGCTCCGGTTTCCCATTCGGTTTCCAAAATTGGTGGAAAAAATGCCCAACCATGACTGCGGGTGCTCCCCGGGAACTGGGATGGCAGATACCCACCCTTCACGAAATTGACCAAATTGTTTCTATATTTGAAGCCAGCTTTAGGGACTTTGAAAAAATCCTCATCCGCGACCTGCAGAATACCGCAAGAGCCAATCGGGTCGCCAACCCAAATCGAATCTTTGCAGACATTAAATTGCCCACAGCTTCCCCAGTCGAAATATTAGATGACTCATGCAGCTGTGAAGTTTTGGACATAGACCTTGAAGATAACTCCATAACCCTGTCCAATAATCCCCAGTTTGATGATAGTCTACCAATCATCTCCCCAGATGGATTGATTGACCCCATAATCTGCTCCGATGACAAAATTTGGGCTGAAAAAGTTGACCATATTCAAATCGGAACCACCTTGCGTCAAGAAAAGTTTGTAGGAGACCTGGAGGAGCTCTTCCGGAGATTCGTGATGAGTGGCGGAAACGTTGGGACCGACATGTGGAGATGCCAGTTGACTATTGGGATCCAGTTGTAGCACACTTCACTAAGAACACACCACGAGGAGATCCCATGCCACATACCAAAATCAGCCTGGACACCTGGTACAACACACTCAAAAAGAAAAAGAGCCGGTCCGCCGTCGGACCAGATGGGTGGTCCCGGCAGGACCTACTACACATGCCGAAGTACCAAACACAAGTACTTCTCGACCTCCTATACGCCATTGAGTGTGGTAAGGAGTGGCCATCATCCCTACTGGTAGGACTAGTCCATAGTCTAGAAAAAATCCCAAACGCCTCAAAAATTTCCCAGTACCGGCCTATAACCCTGTTCAGTGTTATATATCGATGTTGGTCATCCATCAGGTCTCGTGAGATTCTTAGGCATGTTTCTCGATACGCCCCAACAGGATGTTTCGGAAATGTTCCAAATAGATCGGCATCGCAAGTCTGGATGGGAGTTCAAACTGCCATTGAAGCAGCCAATCATGATTCAACAACAATCTCAGGGGCTATAGTTGACGTGGTTAAATGTTTCAATCATCTACCACGCATCCCGATGATGGAGGTTATTACACATTTAGGAGTTCACCCCAACCTGGTATCAACGTGGTTTCGGGCACTACAAGGGATGGTCCGCCGATTCAGCATCAGGGGGTCAGCTGGACCACCCATAAAATCCAGCACAGGATGTGCGGAAGGTTGCGGATTAAGCGTGGTAGGGATGTTTGCCATAAATTGCCTCATCGATTGTTTCATGAAACACCGAGCCCCTGAAGTCAAACTCTTGTCTTTTGTTGATAACATGGAAGTTATCTCCAACAGGGCACACCTGACACGAGAAGGTTTGTATCAACTAAGGAGAATCACTGAACTTTTAGACATTCAACTCGACGAAAAGAAGACAGTTGTTTGGTCAAATGATAAAAAGGAAAGGAAATACCTCCGAGACAGTGAGCACCAAGTGGCAATGTGGACACGTGAATTAGGAGGACACGTACAGTTTTCCAAACAAATGACAAATAGTGTCATCACTAACAGAATCAAGAATTTCAAGTCCAGATGGCCCGACATTGCCAGATCCCAAGCACCGTACACCCAGAAACTGAAAGCCATTAAAATGGTGGCATGGCCCAATGCCCTTCATGGAATAACCTCGGTCCACTTAGGTGATGAACACTATGAACACCTGCGTACTGGAGCACTGCGGGGACTTGGGGAACATATGTGGGGGGCATCACCCGCCATACACCTTAGTCTAGTGGAACATCCTTCGGCCGACCCTGGTTTTCATGGAGTCCTCAAAACAGTCATGGACTTCCGTTCCATGACAGAAGCAGATGCCTGCATTCCAGTATTGACCAAACTCGCTGAGCCCAATGACAGGAAAAAACCAACAGTAGGGCCGTGCAGTGTTTTGCTGCAGAGGCTGCATGCAATCAACTGGCACTGGGATGATGATACCTTTTGGGACCACAATGGTTTCGCAATTGACTTATGGCAGCAACCAATACAAGACATCAGACTGCGCCTGACAGAAGCGTGGCAAACCCAAGCGATGCATCATGTTGCACACAGAGCCTCATTCCAAGAGATTTCCCAAACTTCACCATACCTTACTACAGCAAATTTCCCGCAAAATTCCAGTGATGCCAGCATACTTAGGAAATGCCTCAACGGCACCTTTTTCACTGCTGACCATCAAAAATATCGGGATGCAGATGAAAGTACAGATTGCCCTTTTTGCCATAACGCAGACAGCCAATTTCACAGACATTGGGAATGCCCAAGCCTGGAAGATGCCAGAAAATCTATGCCTGAACACCACCGCCAACTGGCCATGCAGTCGCACCCTGCGACTTTCAACCACGGATGGATTCCAGCACCTGCAGCATTGCCTTATTTCCGACAAGCACTTCACAATATTCCTGACAACACCCATAATTTAATTATTCCCGAAATAGTCCCACCCACTTTAGACATTTTCACAGATGGGTCATGCCTTAACCCAGCCTGCAAAATGACCAGACTAGCATCTTGGGCAATTGTCCTTTACACGCCAGATAACCAACATGATTTCACACCAGTGGGAGCAAGTGTATTGCCGGGCCTGATCCAGACAATCACTAGAGCTGAACTGACAGCTGTCATAGCTGCTTTGATTCTTGAGGATCGTCTCCGTAAGCCATTTCGGTTGTGGATTGATAATGACTTTGTAGTAAATGAGTTGCGACAGGCTTTTGAAACACCTGATTTTTTCTTTTCCAAGATTTCTCACAAAACTGCCAATCATGATTTGCTATTGACCCTTCACCTGTGGGCCCACCGAACCAAACTCTTGTGTAAGGGAATTCTCAAAGTTTACAGCCACCAAGAGAACTATGAAGACGCAGACCCAGCTACTGAATTTGCAATCGCAGGTAACGCAGCGGCAGATGAGGCAGCAGGGAAAATCTGCCTTAGTTTTCCTCATGTACACAAACTATGGAAAGTGGTATCCAAGCAGGTTCGAGAGTTAGTAGCATTTCGTTGTTCTTTGCACACCATGTTTGTACAAGTTGGGAATCTTGCTTTGCGTTTAAAATCTCACCAGTCACGGGGAGTCTCTGTGGCACAAGGGCCGACCCACTCAGCTGAAACCATAGTGATGTCTCACTGGCGAGTTAGCCATTTGGGTGCCCCGCTTGCACCCTACATCACTGAGGACTGGGGTAAGATAGCGCAATGGATAGATACTATTCATGAGGATGGACAACCGATCCAGCTGTGGTCTTGGTATCAGCTTTATCTTGATCTTCAGGTATGTTACCCAAACACATCCCCATGGTATAAGAAAACTGTTAAAGCATGGCAAAATGGCCGAGATTGCCCGACAGTGCCTTTCAGGAAAAGGTGCCGATGGTTCATGAATTATGTCACACGCACATGGAAACACTTGAAGGTAGAGCCCCCCCTGCGACTTTGCAGGCCAACCTCTGACGTCTTGCAGTTCTGGTGCCCTTGTGTGACGGTCATGGTAAGTCCAGAACGAACAGCCGCAATTGACCAACAACTCGCGAGCTGCCGTGCACGATACGTGGAGTGGAAGGATCTCGATTTCTTCGGCATGTAGAAGTTTTGGGGGCTCAATGTAGTCCGCTTCGGCCGTCTACTTTGAGATCAGCAGGAAAAGTGATGGGAAAAGTGATATTAATTATCATTGATGAATATATATATATATATATGCATATGATATTATATATATATATATAAAGTTGTTTTTGTTCTGAGGCATCTCAGAGGCTTTGCCCTATAGTTGGATGAGTGACAAAGAAAACAACCAGCCAAAGTACCTTCCCCAGCGATACTGAAAAAAAAAACAGCCATCCAGCTACCATCCAGCTACCTTTCGGATTGGATCATGGGCCCTTTGCAGATCTGAAAATCGATGTCATCTCCTCACCAGGACCACAAACGGTCACACACCCTATACTCAACCAGGGTTTCTTGAGGGGGATTTCATCTTGGTATTCATCCCCCAGGATCAAAAAAATACTCACAACCTCAGTCAGGGAGTTGTTGTGATGTCCCATCTCTAGCTGCGGAGCTCATCATTGGAAGAGAACCGGTGCTGCCCTGCTGTCTCTTCGGAATCGTCACTATTGCGCACAGTTCTCACAGTCATGTCAAGCCCGGAATGAGGTGTTCATATCTCTTCCAGTTCTTTCAGCCTACATGATCCTACATGGTCCTGGTATCTAAATGTGGCAAATTCAATAACAAAAACCTCTCCCATCTAACTTCAGCGTTTACATGTCATGTAGGGTATTGAACACCGCAACGACAAAACAACAGGTTTTTTCTTTGCTCAATTCGCAGCTCAATAAGCGGTATACAAAAGACAAACTGATACAACCATAATAGTTAGGCCGGGCCCCATAAGGGGCCCCATATCCCAACATATCCCAATTTATGGAGGCAAACTTAATATACCTATGTGCCTACGAATACGTCTATAGTAACCACGTGTTTATAGACTGCTATGGGCATTATTTACCTGATATTTTTCCAGCTATCCCACTTTTCGATCACTGGGGGGTTTTCGCTCAAAAACCAGGCGACCCGGATTGGTGAGCTCCGTCATGCTGCGAATCGTATCCTGGAGAACTCCCCAGGCTGTCTGAAAAGTGCCCGGAAATTTTGGATGAGTTTGATGGATGACCATTTAATGATTTGATGGAAATTTGATGGAAATTTGTTAATGATTTAGTAATGATTTGATGGAAATTTGATGGAAATTTGATGGAAATCTGATGATTCCCAATCTGGTTGGTGGTATACCTACCCCTCTGAAAAATGATGGAGTGAAAGTCAGTTGGGATGATCAAATTCCCAACTGAATGGAAAAATAAAAATCATGTTCCAAACCACCAACCAGCAACACATGATTCCCAACGAATTGGTGCTGGTTAACCCATGCTGCACGGCATGATGGATGCTGTTCTCGGCCAAACCACTTCCATCTCTTTCTCGATGGCCGCCAGTCGTGGATATAACCTGCACAGTGAGGCAGGCAAGGTCTATGGTCATCCTGGTGGCACCTTTGTGTGTCCTGCGAAAAAAGGGGTGACCTTAACGGGTCTCCTATGGTCTCCTGTTTTCTGCGCCTTTTCTGTGCAATCCAACATGTATGGTGTTTAGTTGGTCAAAGCTGCCAGAAAACATGTGTTGTTTTTCCTGCGTTGACCCTCCGTTCATCAAACATAGCACTTGGACATGCTCCGCAGTTTCCTCGGATTATCCGATCGCTTCGCCGGCCTGGACATGGCCTGATAGCTATGGACATTTTGCAGTGCCAGCCAGCCCTCGGAGATTTGCCGACCTGGCCGATGTGAAGCAAATATGGCAGTGGAAAATCCGTGATTTATAGATACCCACAGGGGATTTTCTAGCCAACCATGTTGGATTATACCAGAGGATACCGGATATACCTACTCAATCAACTAAAAACTAACCATGGAATGATATTCCCCAAAAATCATATTATGAAGCAAACTTAGAGTCGTCAACTTACCTCACCAACTTGTGGGGACCTCAGTTTTTTTTCCTCGCCAAGCTGCAGTTCTCCATGTGCAAATCGAAGCTCTTGGCCCTTTGCAGCGCTAGGATGTGCAGGGCATCCTCAGCGAGTCGGCGGAATTTTAGGGCTGGATAAGCTACCAAAAGCTGGAGATAATGATGTATATATATGATGTATATACATGTATAATACATATATATATATATATATATTTAAATACACATAGTTTAAGAATAGATTGGAATAATATGGAATAATAGTATAGATATACAGTATCCACCTCAAACAGTTCACCTAGTCATACTTGGCTAAGTACGGGGCACTACTTTGTAGTTTAGAACCTTCTCCGACCCTGCAGATGTTCTAGCCATCTTAGATCGCAAAGGGCAGGTATTGAGACCTGAGTAGTTTGACCTATCATCCCCATGGAAGATAGGGAATCTTCGGCTACACCCATAGCTATGGCCAAATCGCTCCCTCCATTCACCACAGCTTTAGTGACTTTAGTGGCCGAGGGGCAAAGGTCCTACCCTCCGCGTGCTTCTTTGGCAACTTACTGCTGATGACCCTGGCCTGCTCCTCGAAATTGGCCCTGCAAATCATTCGCACCCGTGGGGTCCGATGTTGCTAGAATTCACGATTAGTGGTTGTTAGACACTGGGGTATATCACCTTGCTCCATCTCAGTTGTAAGGGGTTCCAACCCACTTACTAGCCACTTAGATCGACAGGTGAGCCAGTAGGGCTGTCCAGGGATGAAGTGCTATTCCAGCTACCATAGCACCCCCCCATCTCTGGAAACCTGGAGATTACGGGGAACACATCATCTATACCATCCTGAAAATACGTTTCTACATCTTTTTGGGGGGTGCTACAGATCATTGTGGCCAACGGATTGGTTATGTGGAATGATGTAGAATGGTAGATGGATGATGATGGATGTTTCTCGGTAAGACACATTCAATGATTCCCTTTCCATGGGTGACCTATGGTTACCCATCTTCATCTCAATATTTGGAAATAGCAGATTTACTTGTAAGGTTTGCAGGCATAGGCATAGGCAGACAAATGGATCCCTGTTTTCTTCGTTCATTGGTTTGATCTGTTTGGCTGTCAGCACCCGTTTTCCACAAGTAGTTTTTTTTGTGAGTTTCCGATCATTTTTTCTTAAGACATCTCTGGACTTTCGTACGTTTGCCATTATTCATCTTTTTTTCTCACCATTCTTCACGATTGTGAATTAACCATTATTGACTATTATGACTATTACTAGCTATCAGTAATAGCAATCATTATGAAAATCCCATCACCCTAATATTAAACACCCCATCAAAATGGTTCCTTTTTTGTGTGGAAATTCCCTTTCCTAAGCCATGATTTCGTTTCGGGGGTGTTTTTCATAGGGGGTGTTGGGATTCACCATGATTCACCACTGGTCCCCACTGGCGACATCGATTCAGCACCACTTCAGCACCGCACACCAGCCATGCCTCGAGTCCTCGGCCTCTTCAAAGGCGTTCCTGGCAACATGAATGAGGGGAAGAAAAAAGGCCAATCTGATACACAGGCCCCGGGAAAAAAAAGAAAAACATGGTTTATATCATCTTATTCTTAGAAAAAGACTTTGAAAAGACTACTGAAGTAGGGTTCTAGGTTTTTTCAATCTTTCATTTTTTGGGGTTACTTTTGCGCGTGAAATACGTATGATGTGGTAAAATGGTTATACCAAACACAATTCAAAGCTAAGAAAATCCTTGATCTGGTAGACCAAAAGCTACCATTTGGGCCGGTTCTTTAATCATTTCCGAGGAAAATGAGGATGGTTTGTGGCTTTACCACGTTATAACCGATGGTCTAAAGGCTGTACATGTCCTGACGCCCTGAACTACAGTTGGTCATAGTTGCCAATACCCTTAGCTGCCTTAGCTGGTCACAAATAGTAGGCATATTGTTTTTTCAAAAAAAAACTAAAAAATAAATACGTGAATAAGTAAATAAATGAATAAATAAATGAATAACTAAATAAATGAATAAATACATAAATAAAAAAATAGATAAAATTAATTAACAGTTATATTTATATATATATATATATTATAGTCATATAGACATTCCGATTTGCATAGCAGAAAGCTGTATAAAGGATTATGATGGATTATGATTACACTACCCATCGAAGGTTAGCCAAGGATCTTCCTGCAGATGTTCAAACGCCGAGCCAAGTTGGTTCTCATGTTTTCGTTCCATGGAACTCTCAGGGGTGCTCGGCCAACAATAGGAACAACTACATTTGAATCGCATCACCTGTAAATGTGCATGTACAATTGGAACATATTCCATTTGCAGTTGCTTACCACACAGTAAGATATGATTTTTCTCCATTTTTCTCCATCATGGTTGCTTGTATGTCTACCCAGTTGGTGGAAGAAATGCCGTGCCAAAAGTCCAAGCCCCCCAGCCACCAAGAAGCTAGTGAAGGCCCCATTGCTTCTTTGGTGAAACCCAATTTTTCGGTTTAATCAGCTTTCATCTCATTCGTTTGATCGTGAAACCCGGATCTTCTCCCAAATTTGAAAGTTCAATCTTGACTTTGTGCTGAAATCCCATAGTTTTGCATGCTTAAATCCACTTTTTCATAGATCATAAGGTACCTAAAAAGGGGTTTTCACTTCGGTGTTCGCCTTAGGAGCTGCTGACGCAGGTTCTTTTCTTTCCGTTCTTCGTGGGTGTAGCGCTTGATGGCCTCAAAAAGCCATCGGGGAAGGATGTTTTCTTGTTTTTCCTTGATATGGATTTTAAATACTAATATATGATATGGATATGGATTTTTAAATACTAATACATATTTTTTAATGGAATGATATGGATTTTTTAAATATGGTTGGTGGTTTTACCATAAATATTAATAGTTGGATTTAATTCACCTTAAACATAGTTGGGGATATTTTTCTGACCAATATTTTTCTTGTTCATAGTTGGATTCAATGAATATCTGGTTGGTGGTTTTACCATCTTGAAAAATATGAAAGTCAGTTGGGAAGGATTATCCCATACATTGTGGAAAAAAAAATGGTCCAAACCACCAACCAGTTAATAGTTGGATTCAATAAACATCATAGGAACATGGGATTCAACAAATGGGATCATGATGCTATTTCCATCTATGTCCTATTTGGGAGAATTTAATGATGATTCAACAACATGTTAAAACCACCAAAAATGGATAATGTGATGATGGTGTTAGCATGTTTGTTGAGGTTTAATGATGGGACTAGGGGATTAGAACGATGGGAATCGGTGGGATCTGTGATGATTTCTACCATTGAAGAAAGAAGTTGATGAATCATTCACAACATATGGATACATATGGCAGTCCCAATCACTCTCATGTTTTGTCGGATATGACATGGAATGTCTTTGATGATGTTTTGCATAGGTTCAATGTTTCCCATGCCCACTTTGACTTTGTGATGGGAATGCCAAATCCAAGAATCATGAAAACGGCCTAGAATCTCTGCCGCGGCGGCACAAATGTGGATGTCCAACACTAAGACAATACGCCCGAATCGTGTGGGAAAACGCCGTCGCTTTGAGTTAAAGACACCCGACCCGTAGGCTCCAAAAACCTCTTTACTTGAGGAGGGCTTTGGGTTCGGACAACCTTTCCAAACGAGGTATATTAAAAAAAAAAGACAAATCCATGAAATCCCATCAAATCAGTATGAAATCACCATTTTTTCATAATAAAAAAAACGGCCATATTCTTCACCATTAAATCATCATTATTTTCCAACCACTCCCGGCCAAGGATCGCAGGTTAAGCGACAGCCCTGCACCTTTGCCGTCGGATGTCATGGGATGACTACAAAATATGGTGCCATGGGACGCCGAAAAATAGGGGTTGGTCAATGGCTATTGGGTTGGTATTTAATATGGCTATTAATATGGCATTGAGAATAAATAGCATCATATGGGTTAATATTCAAAATACCCATTATATAGCCATTGGTTGGGTATTAATAGTCATTGAGAATATTATCAATGGCTATTTAATATGGCTTTATGGAGAAACTCTAAATTGATATTGAAATATGGGTCCCAATATGGGTTTATGGAGAACTTATGGATATTTATATCTGGTTGGTGGTATACCTACCCCTCTGAAAAATCATGGAGTGAAAGTCAGTTGGGATGATGACATTCCCAACTGAATGGAGCAATATAACATGTTCCAAACCACCAACCAGCTATTTGGGCTGGGTATAATAGGGGTTGGTCAATGGCTATAATTTCATCGACATTTAGCTAATTTTTCACATCACCCAAATATTGGGGATTACTATAATACATTAATATGTCATCTCCAACAGGTACTTTTGCAAGTGATGTTTTAAACCAATCCCAAAATGGGACATTTACCAAACCCTGTTAGGGAAAATATGGAGGATACCTGGAAACCCATACACCGAGTCAACATCATCACAGGACCCACCAGGAGCCTGCTGGGGTTTCCCACCAGTTTACCATGGGTTTCCCGTAAATCTTCCCCCCTGAATAGATGTCATTAATATTACCCTCTGGTAAACTAACAGTCCGCTATGGAAAATCACCATTTTCAATGGGAAAACTCACTATAAATGGTAATTTTCAATAGCTACGTTAAATTACCAGAGGGTACATGACATTTTCCATTCTCGTCCATTCTCCACATCCTTTTCCATATATTTTCAAACCACATCTATCTGGTTGGTGGTATACCTACCCCTCTGAAAAATATGAAAGTCAGTTGGGATCATTATTCCCAACTGAATGGAAAAAATAAAAAGGTTCCAAACCACCAACCAGATATAATATATATATATATTATACCATATATCCCATTATATATCCCATTATATATCCCACTATATCCCAATATGGCAACCACCAACCAGATATGTTCATAGCAAGTGTCACATCGTTTTCCAAAGCAACACCAGGCTGTTGTCATGGCCCAATCTCCAGCTGAGGCACGTATTCTCGCACAAACAAAGTGAGGTCCTCAGCTACGACGTTACGCAGCAGTTGAGGCTATCACGGTGAACTAACCATAAATTGGGATAAGGGTTGATAACCCATAAGTGTACCATGATACCAGGATATAACCCTGTGATAAGTTACCATAGTTGTAACCCATAAGTTGGGATATAACATGACTGGTTGGTGGTTGACCTACCCCTCTGAAACATATCAGTTGGGAAGGATTATCACAATATATGGAATAATAAAATTCATGTTCCAAACCACCAACCAAATGATATAATTAACCCTTATAACATCTAATAACTATGATCAAAGACATCTCTCCACTGAATCACTTACAACTATTCATAACTGGAACTGCACTTCCAGTTGTATGGACCCCAAAATTGGTCGACCCCAAAATTGGCCTGGATTCAATATGATTCCTGGGCCCCTGTGATTCAGATGCTGGGTGTTT